AAAAAAATCCAAAAAATCCGAAAAACAACTATGTTATGCAGAAAAATAAACTGAACAACTTTTGCCTCAGGCTCACATCGAAATTCTGCACCAAATTAAAAAAAAAAAAAAAACTGTTTATTTTTAATTTTTAATTGTTTTTGGCCCGGCCGGGCAAGTGACCCCGGGCCACTCTGGTAGCCTAGAAAGTAACTATATTCAAAATTTTATTTTCAAAATTATATTCAAAATTTTCAGAGTTGTCCACGCACAGCCGTTCGACAATGATGGGACAATGATTGATGCGATTGAGCACACAAGCATGGGACAATGAATGTAGACATTCTAGGGATTTCGGGTAAATATATGGTGCGACGGGTTCTTTTTTTTTTTTTTTTTAATGTGTTTAAAGGGGTATCTACTAACGGTATCGTATCCTTCCTACCTCCTTTTTTTTTTTTTTTTTTGCCAACGTTCTCTTTATCCGCAAAGGGTCCGGTGCTCAAGACAGGTCCCCAAGCTCAACTGAATGAACAGAGCCCTGTCCCTGTCCACATACATCTCGACCACAGCTGATACAAACCAACTACTTGATTCCGTCAAGGCTTTTTTTTTTTTTTTTAAGGTCTGTTAGTGAAACTGAATTAGTTAAAATCCCGCAGACGGTAAAAAAAAAAAAGGTAATAAAATCTCACAGACACTGCCACCGCGAATTCGGTGTGTGAGTGACACTTTGATGGGAGTTTTTAATGTATTTTAATTTATTCTTCTTATTATCATTATTATTATTTTGATATTTCTAAGGAGGTAGCTCGTGTTGTTACTTTGTACAGATCTGATTCGTTGATATTATTATGACATGTCTCGAACTTGTAATTTGTTTTTTTTTTATAGCTGACATGGCCGGTGTGCTCAAATGAAACGATAATTACAAATTTCAGTCGGCGTTAATTACAAGTCTCAGCCGTTAATTACAAAATTAAAAAATAAAAACGATAAAGTGACCTCCAATGTGAACTATAAGCAACATTTGTGGGGGGCAGTACAAAGTTTCTAAGATAGCTCGACAGGCGTAGATGTCACTTTATTGTTTTTCTATTTATGAAAAATGTAATTAACGGTTGAGATGTCCTTGACGCTGTATCTAGAATGAAAGTTGGCCGAAATACAGACTCAATGACCGTGCATTCCCCCCCCCCTCCCCTCCCCTCCCCTCCTCCTTGCCTGTAATTGATATATGTAGTATATGCCACGTGCTGTTCTCAGTGTCTGTCACGTGGCCATCCATGCATGGTCTCTATGGTAGCCGCCGCGGTGACTTTGTTTTTTTTTTGGATTCATATTATATGTGTTCTACTGAACCTTCCGTGTTTGTTCGGTTTACCCTGTGATGATCCGCATCATTATCCGTAATCGTGTCCGATGCCCTTTTTGGCGGGAAGGCTGATCAAACATCTGCTGCCCATTTGGGCGGGAGGGCTGATCAAACTCCTGCTGCCCATTTTGACGGGAAGCCTGATCAAACGCCGGCTGTCCGTTTTGGCGGGAAGGCTGATCAAACACCTGCTGCCGATTTTGGCGGGAAGACTGATCAAACACCTGCTGCCCATTTTGGCGGGAAGGCTGATCAAACACCTGCTGCCGGTTTTGGCGGGAAGGCTGATCAAACACACCTAACCCCTGCTCTCCACACGTTCTCGTTCCTTGCGCGGTAGGTTTCCGGTCCCCTCCTTCTGTGCTTTTGGGGGGTAGAGGGGTGTGCTTTTGGGGGGTAAAGGGGTGTACTTTTGGGGGGTATAGAGGGGTGTGCTTCTTGGGGGTATAGAGGGGTGTGCTTCTTGGGGGTATAGAGGGGTGTGCTTCTGGGGGCTATAGAGTTGTGTGCTTCCGCTTTTAGAGGGGTGTGCTTTTGGGGGTTAGAGGGGTGTGGCGATCCTTTCCGCTCGACCGCACAAAATTGCAGATATGCCCTTGGAGTTTAGGACAACCTAACACGTGCCCGTTTTCGTATACGGGCCCTTCAACACCTTGAAAGGCGTGGGTATGCCCCCATACCTCCGCCACCCTCCCTCTCTTTTTTTTTCTTTCCTTTTTACAATTAGACTCTGTTCATTTGATTACACACGCAAAATGATAACCCCCTCTCTTCTTCTTCTCCTCCTCTTCTTCTTCTTCTTCTTCTTCTTCTCTTTTTTTTTTTTTGCTTCTTCTTGATTCTCTGATACATCTGTCCGTCACGGTGTATCTTTCTATGTTCTTGTGGAAGATTCTTCTCATTTTGCATTGTGGCAGGTTGCTCAGTTGATGCACACATGAAATTGTTGAATTGCAGACGTGAGTTCGAATCCAGTGGCGACCACAATAAAAAAAATAGTTCTAATTTACAAAGCATCCGATAGTGTGCTGATGCCTTGGTCGAGGTGAGGGGGAGGAGGAGGTCCGAAGATGATGTGCGAGGGGGAAGAGTACGTCGTGAAAGGGGGGGGAAGAGGTCGCG